GTTTTAGGTAGGAGTGGTTGACTCTTAACTTTTATAAAGAATATCTCTTTGGATTTGAGACTTTAATCTTTGCAACTTTACAGATCTTCTTTATGCACCAAGAGTTTGTAACACTCCAAAGAGAAAGGAAAAACTTAAATCGCATCTTATGACCCCTTTAAGATAGGAAAACATCTGGTCCTTTTTTTTTTTCTTAAACCCAAATCTGCCAAAAAAAAAAAGTCAATTTATGACCATAGATGAGATAAGTGAAAGGCTGTATGGGTGGGGTTATGAGGCTGCATAGTCTAAGGGTTGGGCTTTGTTTACAGTTGGGTGGGGGAGGTATGACTGAAGTCTTGGGCTTTCATTATGAAGGTGGTGGTTGCTATGGAGACTGCATCCAGCCTAAGGCAGCCAGATGGCAGAGGCAGACTGTCTCCCGAGCCATGTCAGCAGACATTAAGACATAGACTTAACATTATTATACATTTGTCTGTCATGTGCATCATGGTGTGCTCTGCCCCCCCCAAAAAAGGTCAGCTGATGTTATTTTTTATTAATTACTTAGTTAATTTTATATTACACTTCCAACCAATAGATAATTTTATATTTATTTATTGGTTGGTTAATATTGGTCAATATTTATTGGTTAAAATTTTGTTGTATAATAATAATAACTTTGAAAAATGAAATTTTCTATTATGCTTGCAACCAATATATTATATACTTGTAATGATAATCTTGTTTTATAAAAAATAATTTAACAAATTTAATTATTTCATCTTTAACACATTTATATTTTATATTATACTATTAAATATTGGTTAATCAAAATTTTGTGTTTTATATAATAATAATTTAATAATTTTGTGTTTTTGTACTGTGATAAAGACCTATCATTCCAACATTTCTGTTATTAAATTTACAAAGTGTTTATTCATATATATTTAAAGAAATTAAATACGTCTCTTCAAGCATCTGAAATAAACAGCATCCAGCATTTACATGTACATGTAAAATCATACATATTACACAGTTCCTAGGCTTTTTTATATCCGACACATTCCAAAGAACCATTTTCAGTATCAGCTGTCCTATAACCATAGCATGTTGTGACATTCAATCAGTGCTTGACCCTTTATTCTCAGTTCTTTGAAACTGATGATGATTCACTCACACAATCAGCCAAACACCCTTCCCCCAAAACTCCACCCCCACAGGGTCTCAGGCTGTCTAGAAGGCACTTAGAGCACCTAATGCAGACCTGTGGGGACCCTATGACGTTATCTATTCTCCCTAACTAAGCCTCAATGTCTTTATCGAGGATAAGCCCCCTTTAGCTTCTCATTAGTCAGAAGCTCAGCAGGCTAAAACATTTACAACCATCAAGTAGCACAGGAGATCTTGTTATCGTCACATCTACATAATATACACACACACACACACACACACAAAAGATAAATATAGCTGGCCTAAAACGTGAAAAATAACACCATATTTATTTATTTATGATTTAACGCCATGTCAGCAGCAGAAATAACACCATATAAAAATGCACGTAAACATCTTAGTGTATGATTGACTCCTAACTGGAACATGGTCTCTAAATTTTCTTGAAATCTTATATTGAGAATCAAATGCAGAGGTCTTACCAGCAATGACTCAAATAAAAGGCCTTCTTTCATTTCTAGAGCACTGAAAACCACAAATTACATGAAACTCTCTATTCCCAATTTCATCATGTAGGCGAGTGTTTTGATCCGTGGACTGGTCTGTCATCATTTCAGACCTACAATGACCATTCAGAGGCAATTTTCAGAAACATGATGTGGTACAAGCCACATCATGTCAATAGAATAATAATAACAATTGATAATAATAAACATTACATTCTTCATCAGACAACACACTGTCTGACTGTGTACTCAAAGAGTACATATTTTCAAAGAAAAAATATTTTTGTTACAATTTGTGGTTTTATGCGGTGAATAACAGTCAAGTTAACCAGCTATTTTGATTGCTTAGTATATAATATAAAATAAGGATAATTAGTCTTAATCTTGGCATTGTGAATGGTTCATTTTTGCAGATACAGATGCAGTATCATCATGGAAAATGTCATGTACTGCCCCCTTGTGTTGAAGAAAGCACACTGCAGGCAAAATGTGTCATTTTCTACTGATCTCAACACTGTTTTTAGATGCTGTGTAATTGCATGTGCATTATTTTTTCTCCTTTTATAGTAGACATGGAAATAAATGTCTATTCACTGTTTCAGCAAGCAACAGTGACAGAGCACCAAGCTTGTTTTCCATAAACGCAGCATGACACCTAGCATGAATGCCTGAATAAATAGAAAACATGTTTTTAAGATCATGGGTCTACGCTGTCAGAATCAAGCTCTTTTGATTTTGATTCTTTTTCACGCCAACGCTTAAATAAAGACATAAGGCTGAAGCCCTCTTTAGTGCTTTTAAATGATATTGTTTGGCTATTTCTCTTCCCAGTACTAAACTGCAAGCTAGGCACTGTCTCTTCAGTCTTCGCCTCCAGCTCGACCGATTGTGATTGTGATGAGTCAACAGATTGTGATTCCTCTTGAGAATTAAGTGGCTTGGTGTCTGAATCTTTAACAGTCTCTGTAGAGTTTTGCAATGTGGCAATCATACCACAATCCACAGATTTCCCTTTTCCAATAACACCTATAGAGGGAGCCGGAGATGCGTTTAGATTACTAGGCACAAACAGATCCTCTTGGCTGGTATTTCCACAACTGGCCTCGGGAAGTGCGATTGTGTGCCGGCGATTGATGATCTGGCCGTTCTGCAGCAGAGAGCTGGATTTAGATGTGTTTTCTTCTATGGTCACGATCAGCAGTCTTCTGTCTTCCTGGAAGAATGTCTGCCTGGGAGACAGGATCGGTGACAGGGCCTCGCTGGATGAAATGCTACTTCGACTGGACTGGTATTGCAAAACTTTCCGTGACACCTCTCTCATATTTTGCACCTCTATCTCTGTCTGCACATCTTCTTCCTCCTGCACCGTGAATACAGAGACACGTTGATTGATTGAGGAATTGGCACTTTTCTGCACTGGGCTTGAGATTGTAATCTCTGGGTGCTTGGGTGTCTCATCTTTATCAACGCTCTCCTTAATCAAAGGGGATTGCATGGCACTTTTGATCCAGCTGTCTCTCTTGACCTCTCTGTTGTCAGCGGGGCGTTTCTCCGGCATGGTGGTCTCAGTAAGATTGCCCTGTGAGGGGGAACTGGTCCCGGCTCTACGGCGGGACTGGCGGCTGTTCAACCTCTGTAGGATGGACTCCAGAGCAACTCCTTCAATGTCTTTGTCTCGTGAGGAGCAGGTGGCGGTGGAACGTCGTTTGGTCGCGATCTGAGTACGCTCTCGCTGTCTGCGCTTCACCTCCACCATTTCTCGTTCAAG